TATATATGTAATATAAAATATATATATATAATATAAAATAATATTATATTTAATATTAGTTATAATCTATAATTAATAATATTATAATTTAATAATAATATTATTATTAATATTATTAAATAATATTAAATTATAATTTCATTTTATAAAAATATATATTATATATATTTATAAAAAATATATATTTAAAAATATATATTATATAATAATAAAGATATTATTAAAAATACTAATAAAAAATTATAATATTAAAATTATAATATATAATATTAATAATTATTTATTATTTCTAAATTAATATTATATAATATTATATAATATATACATATTAATTTAACAAAGTAAATAATAACGAAATAAATATATATATAAAACAAAATAAATAATATTATTTAATTAAATATTATATAAATACTTATCAAAATAAATAATATATATATATATATACATAGGATTGAATAAAAAAAATATAGTAAATAAATATAATATATAAATAAAATTAAATATATAATATACTATAAAAACTATACATTTATTTTAAAATATTAATTACTTATAATACAATAAATATAAAAAAATAATGACATACATGCAAAACAATAATTATTTTTAATGTTTATAATAAATTAAGACACTTCACTTTAACCTAAAATATTTTAATTATTAATTATATTTCATTTATTTTGTATAATATTGTTTTAATGTCATTGCAAAATAAGTTAGTCATATTGTAAAAAGTTGGAGTCAATTTTGCAGTTTTTTTATATGAATAAACATTCTAAATAATTTTTAATATCAATCGTATAGAATTTGTATTTTGATTTTTAGAAAAATGTAAAAAAGAAAAAAGAGAATCACATTTCAAATATTGTCGATCAATACATATATATATTATTGTTTATAAATATTAGTTATACAATTATAAAATATTTATATTGCAAGATTTGTGCTTAGCTTAAAAACCAATCGAACCAATCGATCATGCCAAAACACATATCGAGTATGTCAACAAGTTTACTGAACATTACAATGTTATAAAAAAAACAGTCCTATTAAATTTTTTCAACAAATTTCAACAAAATCAAACGTCAATCAATAGATAAAGATTTTAATTAAAAAAAAAAAAAAACATCAAACATTAGAAATATATATTTGACCCATTAATAAAAACTTTGACGAACAACCAATTAGAATCGTTTTCTTCATATTTATGCATAAGTTCATTCGTATCCTTTGACTTATATTTATTTCAACAATCTAACGACTTATCGATTGTCATTTTAATATCGTCCGTTCATTATAAAAGCAAACAAACAAACAAACAAACAAACAAGTAAGTAAACAAATAAACAAACAAAAAAAAAAGATCCTCGTAAAGTTTCTTTTATTCTGTAGAGAAAAAAAAAAGAAGAAGAAGAAGAAGAAGAAGAAGAAGAAAAAGACGACATAGTATGATACACCTAGCAGCAGGTTTTCTAAAAGAAATGATAAAAAAGAAAAGATACAAAAGGGGTGAGCTTTTGCGGTAAAAGACAAAGAGGAACCATCCCTTTATCCTTATCCTCTCCCCCCCCCCCTCCTTTCCTTTCCCTCACCTTAAAGAAACAACAAAAAAATGGAAGAGGGCAAGAACTAGAAGAAGAAGAAGAAGAAGAAGAAGAAGACAATAACAAAAGGTAAGTTTTACCCAAAGAAAGGTATTCTACTATTCGTATATCGTCGTTGTAACGTTAATAAAGAAAAAAAAAAAAAAAAGAAAAAAGAAAAAAAAACTAGAACCATTGAAAGTCACTATAACGTATATTGCGAATGAAAGAAAAGGGAGGATTGGTAGTAGAATAAAACGCGTGCTTGTTTTTAGAAAAAACCTAAAGAAGAATCAACCGTTACAGAAAAATAGAAATGTACAAAATATAAAGTACATCCATTCTCGAATTTCTTCTTTTTTTTTTTTTCATCCCCTCCATTTTATTTCGTTTAATTTTTTTTATACTATATATATATATATATATATATATATATATATATACGAGACATCTTTCTTTTTCGATCGAAAAAACGAGGAGAATGAAATATCTTCGGGATCCTATCTTGATGGAAACAGAAGTCAACGAAAGATATGGGGGTTGAGAAGGGGAAAAGATAAAGGGAATGGTTAGATCGAACGAAAGTAAAGGATTCTTTTCTTATTTTTTTTGTTCTTATTAAATTCACTTTACCTGTCTTGAAATGAGATGGAAGAAAAGGTAAGGGAAAGAAGAAAGAGGAAAAATATAAAAAAAAAAGACAAAGAAAAGCTGAAGAATTGATCGTAAGACTCATGTATATTATACTGGAATAAAAGCTGATTAAAAGATAAGATAAAAGTTGGAGGGTAGGAAGGAAGATTGGTTAAGGGAAAAAAAGATTGCTGGTGGTTGTTCTAAGGGTTGATGCTAATGGTGGTAGTGGTGGTGGTGGTGGTTGGTTAAAAGCGATAAAAATATATTTTATTTTTGTTAGTATATTATAAAGATTTTATCAATGGTTTATTCGAAGCTATAACAAAGATGTATTAGTTGTCAAATATTAGGTGGAAAGAAGAATTATTATTGTAGAAAAAAATTCAGGGTATACAAATGTTGATTATATACTTGGATGATAATAAAACAGATTAAAGTTAATTTAATTTTTTTTTTCCAGATATTCTACAATTTTAGTAACCAAAATTTGGAAAAAAAGGAAACGTGTAAATAAAACATTTTACAGTTGAAAATTTGGATGGTTATTGGGATGGTAGCCAAAAAAATATGAATAATTTTGTATACACATCCTGATTTGTATCAGAATTTTAAAGATAGAAAAAAATAATTTTAAAAGAAGACACAAATAAAAGATGATCAAAAATATCATCCCCCTTTCTACCATCCAGAATGTTGGGACGTTGATGAAAATGATGAAAAGTATGAATAATTTTTTTCTAAACATATAAACCTGGATTTGAGATACCTGAAGTGTCGTCACATCGGGATTCTAGTGAAATGAAAGAAAAGGGTAGAAAGAAGATAAAAATTGGAAGGGTGGAATATTGGGGGAGGTTGGTCTGTTGGTAAGGCCAGGGTTCTCGAAAGGAATACTTTTTTAACAGACGACCCTTGGGCTTTCCTCTTGTTTGATGAGACTCGATGTCACGAGCCGTTTGCCCTGAGGAACCAACCCTGGCGATGGATAAATTAATGATGCAGAGGGTTCCTCGTCGACAGTCGAACATACGTCTGCATCACCACGACATCGTATACGCGAGCATGTTAAATGACGTCCAAGTACGTGACGGACATGACATCTGCGTATTTAACTTTATTCACAATCCTTACTTAAACTTTAAGAACCTCTAATCTCAACCCAAACTTTATTTCTATCCTCAAAACCTTTCACTTTTTATTTGAATTCATTCAATTGTTTCTTTACTTGTTTTTATTTACTTTAAGACCATTTCATTTGGACTCAAACTTTATTTCTAACCTCAAAATCTTTCACTTTTTATTTGAATTCATTCAATTGTTTCTTCACCTGTTTTGTTTTTTTTTTTTAAATCTATTTTAAAAACCTTTTACATTTGGCCCAAGTTTGATTTCTAACCTCAAAACTTTTAACTTTCTATTTTAATTCATACAATTGCATTTAATTATTTGTTTACTTTTTTTTTTTTTTAATCTACTTTAAGACTCTTTAATTTAAACTCAAATTTTATTTTTAAACTCAAAACTTTCCATTTTAATTCGTTCAATTGCATTCAATTGTTTCTTTACTTTTTTTTTTGTATTTACTTTAAGATTCTTTAATTTGAACTGAAATTTTATTTCTAACCTCAAAATCTTTTTAACTTTCTATTTTAATTAGTTCAATTGTTTATTTTTTTTTTTATTTTTAATTAATATAATTCATATTAAATTAGGAAACTGTGATACAAATATTTCCAATTAGATAGGAGATATTATACAACAAACTTTTATAATAATTAATAATCAACTTTGAACTAATATTTATCAAATTCTATACACATCAGAAACAGACTATGCATTTTTTGTTTTGAAAAAAATCCTAGAAACAAACCACACCCCCTTCACCTCTCGTGAATGCAAAATTCCGTATGGATAGATAACAGGCGTTACTTTTTCTGACGGAAATAAATTATCACATCTGCAAGAACTTTCGAACAAAAAGTACACAACCTATCTTTCTCTCTCTCTCTCTCTCTCTCTCTCTCTCTCTCTCTTTTTTCTCAATACACAGACACGCACAGAGATACATTCACTAATAAATTCGTCTATAAACGTTACTTAAATTATCAGCTATATATTCTTTCCTTTTTTTTCATATACACACATATAGTTAATTTTTTTTTCGTATTCAGAAATATCACAACACAAATCCATTTAACGAATTAAAAAATCTTTGTGAAAAAAAAAAAGAAAAGGAATAAAGAAATAAAAAAAAAAGAAAAAAACATAGGAAAATCCCTATATATATATATTATTCCATTTCCAACGTGGGAAACGTCGAAGTATATTTGAGTAACGGGTCGCTCGAGTCTCTTTGAACGTCGGCCCTTTTTCAACGTATAACGCGAATTACCGTGAAAAATCGTAGGAATTTTTCGAACGGCTAGGACGAGGAGTTTAGAAAGAGACAGAACGAGTGAGAAAGAAAGAAGGGGTGAGGGGAAGTAAGAAGAGGAATTACAGGACGACTAAAAGGGGGCACAGGAAGTAGGGATGGAGTTGTAGGAATAGTAGTCATTGCAGAATGGGGTGTGAGGAAAAGAGGAGGAGGGGACAGTGGGACTGAAAGATGTCGAAGAAAAGAAAACGGGGGTTGGTAAAGGGTGCGAGGGGGATACGTGAAAAGAGGGCAAGGGCGAAGGTGAAGGTGGTGGTGGTGGTGGTGGATACGTAAAAATTTCATTTTTCTCACGAAAGCATCGTGATAGAATAAGAAAAAGTATTTCGAATGAAAGAAGAAGAAGAAGAATAAGAAGAAGAAGAAAAAGAAGAAGAAGACAGATAGATCGGGTCTGGTTCGGTGCAAATTGAAATATTGTATGAATTTCACGCTTGAAGATTAGAAATCAGTCGACGTAAATTCATTTTCCAATCTCGGATGGGTAAAAGAGGGTGAGAACTAAAAAGGATAGAAAAGGGAAAGAAGAATAGAGAGAAAGAGAGAGAGAGAGAGAGAGAGAGAGAGAGTTAGGTGATGTAGCATGCTCGAATAAAGCTTCGGTTGGTCTTTTGAATCCTCCCACTCACTCACTCTCTTTTCCCTATCTTTCTTGCTCCGCAGAACCGTTCGCGTTATCCCGTAAGGTGGATTGCACGGTGTCGACGTTTCGGTTGGAGTGGGATGGTCGCGGAGGTTAGGCGAGGGATTGGGGGGGAGTAGACGACGAGGGGAGGTAGGTGCTACTGCCGAGTGGGACGGATGAGGGTAGATAGAAAGAGAAAGAGAATGTTAGGAGGGTGAAGGGTTGAAGTAGAAGAAGAAGTAGAAGAAGAAGAAGAAGAAGAGGTGGCACTGGAAGAGGATGACAAGATGAGAGGAGAATGAAGGTAAAGGGGACAGGGGAAGGGGTTGGGGGGCTAGTAGTAGTTGAGCGAGAGGGTTGGGGTGGCACAAGAGGAGGGGTGGAGGTTGGCAGTAGTGTGGCGGCAGGGCAGAGAGCAGGCAACCGAATGCGAACGAGTGAGAGTAAGTGAGAGAGAGAGAAAGAGAGAGATAGATAGAAAGGGTAGTTGGTGGGATAACGGTAGTGGAGGGGGTCGGGGGGCTGAGAGAGGGTTGGATGGTTCAGAGAGAAAAGTGGTGGGGGGATTGCGAGAGCGCAACACGATGCTATAAGGGCGGGTACGCAGCCGAGTCTCCGCAGTGAGCACCGCGACGCCTTCGAAGACGAATCGTGCGGAGAATTAAGCCGGTGTGAACGTAAAGTTTTACACGAGGCGTGACACTTTTTTTTACTTTTTCATTCTCTCTCTCTCTCTTTATTATTAATTACAATTACTTATTCTACCCTATTCACCTCCTTTTTCATTCATCGTTACGTTTAATTTTGCAGTTTTAGTTTATTTCTGCTAAATTGTGCGATCGTTGTTTTTTAAATTAATTAATTTTTTGTATATATTATTTTTGATATACTTTGTTATAAATTTGTTGTGTTTTTGTTTAATGCTTGTTTTTAATTTTTATATAAATAAATATATTGTATGATATGTCATATTTCGAATACGTGTATCTATATATGTTTGTTTAAAAATTATTTTAATTAATTTACGATATTATTTTGTTCATTTTTATGTATAAATTTGTTCATTTATTTATTTGTTTTGTTTATTTAATCGATTCATCTTTTTGATCCGTTAGAAAAAGGAATCTTCGAATCTGGAACTAATAAGCCGATGTGCAGTGTTGGTGAATTTCAGTTTCCACACCTATTTTTCCCGAGCCTCTACGATAAATTTCATCGAGAGGAACAGGCAGATAAAATGAGAGAAAGATAGATAAAGGAGAAAGAGAAAAGGTTTTATCTGGAAGAAAGGTTGCGCTGCGGTATCTACGATCCGTCCTTTTCTTTTTTTCAAGGGATATCTGACATAAAAAATAAAAAAAAAAATAAAAAGACAAAAGAAAGAATAAATTTGCTTTTAAGAGGAAAATTTGCATTGTGAACGTTTTTATATATATTCCATTTGTTATAAAAAATATTTTCTTCTTTTATCTTTTTTTGATTCGTATTTATCGTTCGTACTTTCTTTACTCTCTCTCTCTCTTTCTTTCTCTCTTCTCATCTTTCTCTCTTTCTCTGTATTTTGATTTCTACTTTTTCAACTGGGTTTTTTCTTTCTTTTTTTCCATCATCCATGGATTTTCTCTTCATTCACATCGAAAGGTTGGTAATACCGTTCAACTTATTTTAGGAAATGTATCGAACATTTATAATTCTTTTATATAATCGTGATTATGCGTGTTTATATGTGTATGTGTGTCTATTGCAAAAAGTGTATATATATATATATATATTTACAAATATGTGTGTGTGTGTGTGTGTGTTCAAATTACGTCAAAATTTTCGTGAAATTTATCATCTTATATTTGCAATAATTTAAAACGTACTTCCAACCACTCACAAATCATTTTTTATTTTCCACCCTCACACCCTATCAACATTTTAATTCAAAACTTTTCATTTCTCTCACTCTCTCTCTCTCTCTTTTCCGAAAATAAATGAGAGCAAATACATCTTTTTTCATTAGCTGTACGATAATAACGTTTTATAATTGCTTACTTATAATTAATTATCAATGATACACATCTCGCAATACTCAATTTTAAATATTCAATCTTAAATGGAATAAACAACAACAACAACAACAACAACAACAACAACAATGCACTCGATTAAAACTATGATTGATTTTAAAGCAACGAAATTAATTGTCGAAATTGCTATTTGAATTTACTTTGTTTGAAATTATCGAACAAATCCAAAGAAAACCAACGAGGAAGAAAATTATTTGTCGAAATCTTAAAAAAAAAAAAAGAAAGAAAGAAAAAAAAACAAGGGAAAGAAGAAAAAAAGGATGAAACAAAAAAAAAAAGCAAAAAATATATTTTTCTTCGAGAAACGTTTAAATATTTTATCGTAATTGTCGTAGAATCGATGATCGAACCTTCGGATATTTAGGGGTTGGAGAGGTAAGGGGGTGGGGGTGGTCTATTGTTTGCTTGTTTACGCATGGCGTGTACAGTTCCCGAGTAAATCCTACCCACGTTGGAAGTCACGTTGTTTGGGTAGGGGTGGGAAAAGGAGGGTGTGCTGGGTGGGTAGCCATCAAGATTGAATCTAATGATTGTTTCCTTTTATTTTTTTTTTATTTTTTAAGTAAGTAAATCTTCAACCATGCGCATAATTATAAAATCGAAACAATCGATGAGTATTGAAACGAAGTATAAAAAAATGTCTGACAAAAAATGCACTTTGTTTTACTTTGTTCGTTCTTCGATCACTGAATGAAAAACAAATCGAACTATGAACATATTTTAAAAACAGAACAAAAAAAAAAGTAGAAAAATAAAGCAGAAAATATTTAAACAAATGAATTGTTTTATTTTTAATAAATTCTCTTTGTAAAATAAAATTTTCAATCGTTGTGTGCACTCAGACATAAAAAAAAAGGTAAATTGAAACAAGAATACCACAAAAGTAGAAGAAATAAAAAAATGTTTAAAAAATATTTAAAAAATTGTATTTTATTTATTTATACGTTTATATGATTTTTTCTTTCGTTTTCTTTCGTTTTCTTTCGTTTTAACTCGAAACAAACCTCTTCCTTTCAACCCTAAGATTTTGTTCTCTCCTATCGGATAACAATGAGTCGGCATTTGTTAAGGATCTAAAAGTAATTTCAACGTTGAGGAAAAATGATGATGGTACCTTTCGAAATCCCGTACGGCACCTTAAAGGCAGACACATGGAAAATTGAAAACGTCTATGCGGATCAGATAGGAGAAATCGGCGGTATTACTGTAACGCGATCGACGTTCTACCAAATTAGCTTATTTCACTGAGTTCTGATAAGAAAAGCTTCTATTTCACTTGACGTATTCTATATAAATATTATATAATAGTTATAATATAAATGTCATGATAAATAAAATATGATTTATTTCATTCTTTAGAAAAAAAAAAATAAACGAATCATTTTATCATTTCAATCTAAGCCCAATTAATATTACATATTTTTATTTAATTTATTTGTCAATAAATTTCAACACAATTGTTTCAATATTAGAATTTAAATAAAAATAAACCAAAAAATTTATTTCCTTGATATATATTATCATTAAATATTTTATCATTAAAATCTAAACCCAATTATTATTATTATTATTATTATTATTATTATTATTATTATTATTATTATTAATTGGCATTAGGAACTCGGAAGTTCATTGCCGCAAATACCAAATCCCGCCATTGTTGTTATATTAAATATTTTTATTTAATTTATTTATCATTAAATCTCAACACAATTGTTTCAATATTAGAATTTAAATAAAAATGAACCAAAAATTTATTTCATTGACATATATATATATATTGTATAATTTATGATGAATAATGAAATAAATTGTAATACAATTGGTCCGTGTATAAAAAGGGTTTTATCAATCGTTGATCTTGCAATCTCATTCTTTTTCAATAATACTCTGATACAATTGAATATTTTATTATTTAGAAATAAAAAGATAAGAAAGGATTCCTTATTATAACCTTCCAAGGTTATAACTCATCATAAAAAATAATTTTCGTGTTTAGATAAAATCACATTGACCTTGCAATTCTCAATTCAATTGTTCACGTTGATATTCAAATGTTCTGAATAAAATTCAGTATAAGAAGTAAAAAAAAAAAAAAAATAGAAATGAAAGAAAAAAATATGCTGAACAGTTATAGTTCATTCGAAAAATAAATTTATGTTCGCATTATTTTTGATTGATACTGCAATTTTAATTTAATCTCATCATTTCTTCTCATTTCACGTGAATATTCAAATAATTCAGAAAAAAAATCATATATTCCATGATTATGATTCATTTGATAAAATTATGTTCATTTTTGAATTAAATCTGATGATCATTGCAATTGCTAAAGCAATTTGCTATTATCTTAATTTATTCAATTTTATTTCCATTCGAGAATTTTCTAATAACACGTGGAATATTCAGAAAAAAAAAAAAACACATCGAGAATAAAAATCAGTTAAATGAGAGCAAAAAAAAAAATAATATGTAAGGGAAAACGAGATACAGCACGGTTTTTATATCCAATTTTACAAAAATGTTCGTGTTCCAGATGAAATCTAATTGACCAATGCAATTTTATTTTCTCATTACATAATTCTATGCACACGTAGATATTTCGTAATAAGAACAAACGTTAGATCCAACCAAAGTTATTATTACATATTATATACATGCTACAAATTATATTTATATTTAAATTACATCCTATCGTTACTGCAATTTCATTTTCATTCCATGATAATCTAACACATGAGAATAATTCAATGTTCAGTAATTTAAAAAAAAAAAAAAAAATTAGAACAAAACTGTGAACTGTGAACTCTTTGTACGATCTCGTTTACATTAATTCGAATTGACATTTGCAATTTTACAATTTAGAATTAAAATTTCAAACCAATCGATAAAAGTAGAAGAAAAAAAAAGAACATGAAACAAAAACTAACACACGTGATTATAAATTTTTGATATTTCCAATAAAAAATTTCGTATTTATAAATGTTGATTTTTTGTAATGGTAAAAGTATCGATCGATATTTTGTACAATTTGTTTATCACAGTTCGTCATAATTACTTAAAAAAACCTATTGGGGGAGGGGCTGTTTTAAATTCATGATAAAACAAAGAGAAGATTAGTTTCGTAAAATGTTGGCTTCCCTTTTAAAGTCTCATTTGGCATGTAGGAACAAACCGATTATTTTATGACTCGATCATTTGACTATCGATAAGAGTAAGCTGTTGACCTAAATCTGACTGGTCATTACAGATTTAGAATTATACGTTGTATTTATACAGATAACGTTTTAAACTATTTTTATTTTCCAATAAGAGACAGAAAATTCAGGACATAATATATATATATTTATATATTTGCATGACTTCAATATGTTTCATTTTATAATTAAAATATGTTTATTATTCAAACACATTTTTGTCGCAAAGTTAGTTTCGTTGAATTGTTTTTCAATAATTTAAATTGACAAATGAAACCATCGAATTTTAATTATTTTATTAACATTGGAAAATAAAAGTTTTCGTAAATTAAATTATTTTTAATTATTATAATAAAAATCTTCATAAATAAAATTAATTTCAATTATTATAAAATAAAAATTCTAATATATAAAATTATTTTTAATTAACGTATTAAATATTGTATTGCCAATAATTTAATAAACCAATGTAACAATTGAATATTAATTATTTTATTAACATTGGAAAATAAAAGTTTTCGTAAATTAAATTATTATTAATTATTATAATAAAAATCTTCATATATAAAATTATTTTCAGTTATTAGAATAAAAATTCTAATATATAAAATTAATTTCAATTATCGTATTAAATATTTTATTGTAATTTTTGTGTAATTTTTTTAGGTTAACCTTTTTGTTTTTAATTCTTTTAAAATTCATTTTCTTTCGAGACAATTCAACTTCGATTATTTTATTATTATTCAGTTTCCTGAGAGATAAAGTCAATTAGTTGAGTTAGATGGTTGCAGTTTTGGACGTATTTGATGAGCTCAAGTAAAGTTCGAGAGCGATTCTCGAAGGTCCGTCGTCGTTGTCCTGTCTAGAAGGGCTCAGTATTTACCACAACTTCCCTGCTAACTAGACTATGTTCATTTTAATAGCTTAACGCTGGGCTTTCGGGGTAAAGCTTCACTCGAAATATCTGTCAGACGTGCTTAACGCTTTTCAAGCGATCAAAACTACTCTCTCTCTCTCTCTC